GCTTGTGAATCTCGCAATATATAACAAAATGCCTGCTAGCTGAAAAAGGAGAAAGAGTACAAACCTAAAGATCACAAAATCCAAGAAATTTAAAGAAGATAAAATACTTATTCTCTTTAGAAATTCCACTGGATATAGTACAATGTTTTACAAAATTTACTTCTAACTTTCTATACAAAAGTTGAAAGTTTCTGCAATTGCCAATGATTACTTTGGCTTTCTTAAAACTCCATTAGTTTACACGTAACAGCCCCAGCGAATTACCATTATTATATAAGTCACCCCTTAGTTTCTTATTATAGTAATTGTACCCCTCCCTTGTGTTTGGATCTTAGTAAGAGCCACAATGGCTTTACCAGAGAGGCCTGGTCCATGCGCCGAGGTGCACGCTCGAGACGCAAAGTCTCCTACGGGTGTCAAACCAGCCAAGCCGGGGGCATTAGAATCCTCTTGTTTATGTCATTTAGGGTTACATCTTCTACTCGACCACCGGGTTTCACCAATCCAAATGGGTAGACCACTCTTGTGATTAGTCTTTTGTTTTTTATTACCACAATTAGACGAAGATGGTTCGGTCGGTGATTTTTCTGGGACATAGATTTTGTCGGATGAAATAGAAGTGTCCGGTGACTCGTAAACGGTCGATATTAGTTCCTCAAAGTTGCTAATTATTCCACATATGTATTACATCCATAGAATGTAATGCTATTTTTAATTTTAACATATGTATTACTTTTCTTCTGAGACAAAATAAAAAAATATTAATGATTTCATCCGAATGAAGAAAATGTTATCCAGCTGAATTTAAAACTATTTGTTTTGTCTTTATATAACAAAAAAAACTATTTTTGGTCCGACAATTATAGGTAAATATATAGATTTTCTTACGTTAGTGCCATTTGAATTGTAAATGACTAATATATAATAATTTTTTTTATTTATAAAAGTAGGTCTCACATGTGTTAACATGTGGAGTGGCAAACTGACAATTCAAAATAGGCAAATGCCTAAGGCCCCTTAATTTTTTGCCTATATGCCTTCTTGGTTTATGACCGATGGCTTCTAGCTTAATGCTTTCCGATGGCTTCTAGCTTAATGC